ATACAGAGGGGGGTAAATGGTAATGGAAAAAATAAAAGAAAAAGTGCACAATATAATCAGAAATACTGAAAAATAACAACAGTATAGTCTCTGAGAAGTAAGGTTTGGTTGAAATAGTGTTCCTCTCTTTCTCCATTGCTAGGTTTGTGGTGTTTTTTTTTTTAATTTAATCATAGAGGCCTCAGTTGAGTCATAAAAGAAATAGTAAATATATTGTGCACTGCACTTAGGAATAAATTTATATTTTTAACTGAGGCACTTTCCAGTAAATGGTGTCAAATGTACCATGAAAAAATACACCTGCTTTTAAATAAGAAAAACAAAGCTGTTGCAGAAGACTAGTTAGTAGCTGGCCCGAAATCTTTGCAAGAGCAAGTCCTGTCTTGGAAGTTCTTGCTGAAGAGGGAAATACCACACACCATCTTCATCAAAGGTAATCAGTGACCAGAATGTACCAAAAATTATAATGGTATTTTATAACCGTATCCCTAAAAGTGATAAAAGATATAGTTCCCAATCATAATAATGACCAGTATTCCCTCTTCATACTAATATCACTGACTAGAGCTACTTATGAATTAAGGTTAGCTCCCCTATACTGTTTCCACCTTCTAGAAAACAAATATTATGAATGGTAATGACAGAACAAAGTTTGCCTTTTCACAGTATTCTACACAGAAAAAGGTCTTGTTTCCTTAAATAGAAATTATAACCTCTTATACAATATTTGTTAGCATTCTACAGTTTAAAAAACAGATAATAAAATTTTTGTACAAAATAACAAGAGAAATGTTTGCTTGACAAAAATGCATACTTTTAATGATCATATACCATCAAACATAAGTGAAAGTACTTTGAGGAATTACATTGAGCTGTAAGTAACAGAAAATACCCAGCATTCCTGACAGAAGGGAAGTCCTTACTGTCCTATTAAAACACCAGGTCAAGCCAAACACTGTAAAATGCAGTAAAGAAAAAAACTCCCCCTTTTTTTTTTCAATTTACACTTGCAGATGTCATGGTGAATGCAGAACACATGGCCACCAGCACTATTCACAGCATAGGCTGCTTCCTATACAGCGATTCCTCACCTATCATAGGAGTTACATTCCAGAGACCCCCGCAATATGTGAAAATTCATGAAGTAGCAGCGTTATATTTATTTTATTATTTATATATATTTTAAGGCTTTATAAACCCTTCCCACACTCCTATAAACCTTTCCCACTCACTTATTAACCTTTCCCACACTCTTATAAATACTTCATATGCTCTTAAACACTTTCTACACTCTTAAACCTACATAATTTTAACAACATGAAATTCTATATGGGTACAGTATACTGCAAAATCCTGAGATATAGTGAAAACTCTGCAATACAGAATTAGATATATTTTAAAAAACCACAATACAGTGAAGCTGCAATAAGTTAACTGCGATAGAGCTTGGGACAACTGTACATAGTAGACCGATGACTATGAACATAATCTAGAAATGAGAGAAATCAGACAGTCGTCTCTTGTATGACCTGATGGACATGAGAGAAGTTACAGAAAAAGCCAAACTCTAATGGATCTTAGAAAGTGAATCTTTTAAAAACACCAGTGGAGAACCATGCCTCTAAGAAAATGGAAATCAAACAGATTGTAGCCACTTTGAGAATACTCTTAACCAGAAGGGCAAAGACTCCAAAAAAATGAGCTAGAAGATGGTGTTCTTGAAGCCCCTGTGTGCTGGTATCACTCCCCACATGGTGGCTCTACAGCGTAACTAATGACGTCTTTCCATCTGCCGCCTGAATCTAATGCAAGTGACGCTATTGGTAAAGTCTGATTTGGAACCACAGAGCAAATGAATTGTGGAAAATCTAGTTCCTAACAGTACCTACAGGGAGATATCTTCAAATCCAGATTTTTTTATCACATCACAGGTGTCTCCCCTCACATCAAAATATATCCAACATGCATCTCAGGAAAAAAATCCAAAGCACATGGTCAAATATAAAAGTAATATAAAATATATATTATTTCATAATCTTGACATACATAAAAATTTACGCCAACTTTTTTTATTGATTATGCCATTACATTTGTTCCATTCCCCCCTCCATCCTGCACACCCCTCCCTCACCATTCCCCCCACTTTAGTTCATGAACACGTGTCTCAAGTTCTTTAGATTCTATATTTTCCCTACTATTCTTACCCTCCCCCTATCTATTTTCTATCTACTGTCTATGCTACTTATTTTCTGCACCTTCTCCCCCCTTCTTCTCCCACTCTCCTGTTGCTAATCCTCCACATGATCTTCATTTCTATGGTTCACTCCTGATCTAGCTGTCCTCTTAATTTGCTTTTGTTTTACATGTGGTTGTTGATAACTATGAGTTTGCTGTCCATTCACTGTTCATCTTTTTTACCTTCTTTTTCTTAGGTAAGTCCCTTTAACATTTCATATAATAAGGGCTGGGTAATGATGAACTCCTTGAATTTGGTCTTATCTGAAAAGCACTTTATCTGCCCTTCCATTCTAAATGAAAACTTTGCTGGATAGAGCAATCTTGGTTGTAGGTCTTTGGATTTAATGACTTGGAATACCTCTTTCCAGCCCCTTCTTGCCTGTAAGGTCTCTTTTGAGAAATCAGCTGACAGTCTGATGGGAACTCCTTTGTAGATGACTGTCCTCTTATCTCTTGCTGCTTCTAGGATTCTCTTCTTCATTTTAATCTTGGCTAATGTAATGATGATGTGCCTTGGTGTGTTCCTTCTTGGGTCCAACTTCTTTGGGACTCTCTGAGCTTCCTGGATTTCCTGGAAGTCTATTTCTTTGCCAGATTGGGGAAGTTCTCCTTTATTATTTGTTCAAATAAGTTTTCCACTGGTGGCTGTTCCTTTCCCCCTTCTGGTACCCCTATAATTCGGATGTTGGAATGTTTAAAGATGTCCTGAAGGTTCCTAAGCCTCTCCTCATTTTTTTGAATTCTTGTTTCTTCATCCTTTTCTGTTTGGTCATTTTGTTTCCTCCTTCTGGTCCACTCCTTTGATTTGAGTCCCAGTTTCCTTTCCATTACTATTGGTTTCCTGTGCATTTCCATTCATTTCAATTAGTTTTGCCTTCATATGTTCCTCTAATTTGTGACTAAAATCAACCAGTTCTGTGAGGATCCTGATGACCAGTATTTTGAACTGTGCATCTGAAAGTTTGGCTATTTCTTCATTGCTTAGATTTATAGGCTCTGGGGCTCTGAGTTGTTCTTGAGCCATGTTTTTATTTGTTTGTGCCTGTTACATATGAGGAGGAGTGGAGCCTTAGTTGTTTACCAGGGTGGGGCCACCCAGGTCGTTGGTTTGTGATGCTGTATGTGGGGGTGTGGTCAGAAAGGAAGCTATAGTAGTCCTCTCCACTCACCCAGTCCGTCCAACTGCTTGCCCCTGCCTGTTTATCTGAGCGGAAATGTGCAAGCCCGCTGCCCTGCGCCATGAGGTCTCAATGCTCACCTCTTCAGTGGTTTATCTGTGCGCAAATGCATAACTGACAGCAGACAACCAGCCGCACCTCTTCCCTGTGTCCACCCGTAGGTAGCCTGCACCTGGGATCCGCACCTTCGGCTGCCTGTGCACCACCCCAGTCAGGGATCTTTTTGGCCAACCCGCTCCGCTGCAGGCTTCACCCCTCTTACAGGCTTAGCTGAGCATTTCGTTGTTTTCGGACTCCATATTGTCGATTTTCTGTGTGGTTTGATTGCGTTTATTGTTGTTAAAACTTTGCTGTTTTTAGATTTGGTTGTGCGAGGACGCAAGGTATTTCCACCTATGCCTCCATCTTGGCAGAAGTCCTACTCCAACTTTTTATGGCTAAGAAAGATGAGAAAAGCCCTGGCTGGTATAGCTCAGTGGATTGAGCATGGGCCTGTGAACCAAACAACCGAGGTTCGATTCCCAGTCAGGGCACATGCCTGGGTTGCAGGCCAGTTCCCAGTGGGGGACGCACAAGAAGCAACCATACATTGATATTTCTCTCCCTCTCTCCTTCCTTTTCCCTTTAAAGATAAATAAATAAAATATTTTTTTAAAAAAACATGAGAAAAGACTTTAATATCATAACCTTCTGAAAAGGAGCTTTGTCAGTAAGAAAGGAGAACATATATAATGTACCAGAGGTACCCACAACATTTCACAAAGCCAGAAGGAAAATTCAAACAGCAAAATCAAAAATAACGAAATACCATTTTTCAATATCCCCTTAGCACAAATACATTATAAAAAATAAATGAACTGCATAGTAGAAATACACTTGAATTCAGTTTAAATTCAGTAGACTTCAAAAAGTAAATAGACATTATTAACATAATGAAAAATCACTACTTACTAATTTGTAATATTTTTGAAAGACAACTCCCAAAGCCATATCACTACAATACTCATTTCTGAAAGTATTTACAACAGATCTGACCTGCATGGGTTCACTTATCAGTGGCAGTTCAACCCCTTGTTGTTAAAGCATAAACTTCAGTTTTCATTCATGGTCGAGAAGCCACATGGAGAAGTGGCTTAAATTATACAAAGACCTTTGGCTACATGGGTGACTGGTGCCCCTAGTCCCCATGTATTTAAGGGACAATATAGTAACACACTCCAATAACATACTTAAAGAAACGGGAAATAATTATTCATCATTTTAATAACTCTTTCACCTTAAGAGTTTTCTGGAGCATTATATAGAAATTAACTTCATCAGGCCTTATTAGGTTATTTGCATTTTCATTTCTTTCAGTAGGAGTTTTCACATATAAAGATGTGGGCAAACTGAAGTCTTTCCCACACAATTGATATTCACTAGGTTTTATTCAGTGAATCCTTTTATGCCTTCCTAAAGAAGAGTGATCAATAAAACCTTCCCCAGGTTCTTCACATTTAAGAACCTGTTTCTTTCCTAGTGTGCACTCTCAAATGTAATTGAAGGGTTTTGTAATAAGTGAAGGCTTTCCCACATTTCTTACATTTAAGTCTGCTCTCCAGTATGCTTTCTTTTATGTACTTGTAAGGAACCAGAATTTCTGTAGGCTTTACCACATTGTTTACATCCATAGGGTTTCTCTCCAGTGTGACTTCTTTCATGTCTTCGATACCAGCTAAGTCGAGTGAACGCTTTCCCACACTCCTTGCACTGAAAAGGAGTGTTTCCAGTGACCATTTTCATGTGTTCTTGAAGGGAGCTGAGGTGACTGTAGGCTCGATCGCAATGTTTACACTGATAGGATTTCTGCCCTGTGTGGATCTCTGTGTGTGCTTCCAAGGACCTGTACTGTTTGAATGCTCTTCCACATTCCTTACATTTATAGGGTTTTTCTGCTATGTGAATCATTTTGTGTAATTCTATGGAGCTGTAATATCTGAAGGCCTGCCCGCATAACTTGCATGCATAGGGTTTCTCTTCGGTGTGACATTTTTCATGTCTTTGAAGGCTGTTATAATTTCTAAGGACTTTCCCACAGTACTGACACCTACAGAGATTCTTGCCAGTGTGGCTTCTCTCACATGACTGAAGAGAAGCTAAAGTACTAAAGGTTTTCCCACACACATCACATCTGTAAGGAGCATCTCCAGTGTGGGTTACCATGTGTCTTTGAAGGGTTTTGAGCCACATGTAGGCTCTTCCACATTCCCCACATTTATAGGGTTTCTCTCTGGTGTGAGTTCCTTCATGTTTTTCAAAGCACTGAAGAGAACTAAAGGATCTCCTACATCTGTCACATTTATATGGCTTCTCTCCACATTTCCGATCCTCAGACAGTGTATGTCCAGTGTGACGTCTGATTTGCCTATTATGGGGTGGATGATCCATGAAGACTTCCCCACATGCTCTGTATTCATATGGTTTTCTTCCAGGAAGAGACTTCTTGTTCAGATTTCTCTTGGAATAGGAGAGATTTGGAATAAGACTGACATTTTCTCCACATTGACTAACCTTTTCCCCTTCATGGATTTTCTTTAACACAAGAAATCTGTAAAAACCAGGAAGCACATTAATGATTTTATTAGTTTTTACATTTACTACTAAAATATTTTAATATATTTATGATTCATATCAAAAGCATAGGTTTTATGTTTTGCCTGAATTGTTGGAAATTTAATACAATTAAGGTTTGGCAAGACAAGTTGCTCCCTGCTATTAATAAAACTGATATTTATATACAGGGTTTAAGAATGCTGATTTTCTGTGATCTATTTTGCAAACACTGATTATTTATGTCATATGTAAAGATGCAATTTTGTAAAAATATTCTAAGAAATAGTACATTTAAAGTAGGGGTTGTTTTGGTTGCTTCTTTTTAAAATTTCATTGAGAACAGATTTCTCACCTGAAACACTGCTTTTTCTCATGCGGGAGACTCACCTTCGTTTTGGCCCCTGGCTTTTGTACTGATTTTCAGTGTCATGATCTTCCCATTTTTTACCTAAAAAAATGCAGGCCCAGAAAAATAATTATAAAATATTGGAAATTATAAAAAATTTAGTACATTCAACTTCTATGATGAGCTGTGGCTTTTTGCCACTGTCCTTCATTCTCACATTACACATCTTAGAATATGCTGATGGGCAAGAGACACCTGTCCTCCAGACGAGGAACTGAATGTAACTTACCTATGAATTCCAGGTTCCTGAAGGTTTCCTGCATCACATCTCTGTAGAGCTTCTTCTGTGAAGGTGTTAGTAAAGCCCACTCCTCCTGGGTGAATGTTATAGCCACATCATCAAGGACAAATGAGTCCTAAAATAGTTCAAATATATGTAGAGTAAACTGACAGCCCTGGACACCTATAATCCATTTAAGAGAACGTTCCATATGATTCTGTCATCTCCAAACATTTATTCAATGACTAGACCATCAGAAACTTATTCTGGCCACACTTTCTCCCTTATTAATGTAACACAATTATGAACACATGGAAATTATATACACATTTGTAGTGTGATTTCATTATACTTTTATTTCTCTAACAGCAAAGTTCAGATCATGTTGGGAAATGACAGAAATGCTTTACAAATAAACAAATACCACTGTTTTAATACCATCAATGGATTGTAAGAAAAATTCATTTTCTTCTTTATTACTCACAGAAGGTCAAATTTGCATCCAATGAATAAAATTTAGTTACAAAGTAGAAGCTTTTGATCACCAAACATGATTTACATCACGGGCATGTGGTCTTTGGTAACCCAAGTTTTAACGAGGTGCAGCAGGCCATACCTCCCTCAAGTCCTCAAGGGCACTACGAGTTGTCAGATGCATCTGGCTGAATGGAAATATTCCATGGAGAAACATTGCTCTTTTCTTGTGTAATATTTACCTTGGTTTTGGTTCTTTATTTCTGTTTCTCTATGCTTTGATGAGCTAAAATGTTCATCATGCCCTTAATAACAAAGAATCAATCGTGATATGTGTTGTTAGGTGAATCTGTTGTTGTGGGGACGTGATACAGTGCACACACACAAACACACACACACACACACACACACACACTTAGAGCACATAGCCTACCACACACCAAGGACAGAGGCTACGGCATCTTACTCCCAGGCTGCAGAGCTGCATAGCATGTTACTGTACTGAATACTGCAGGCAACTGCAACATAAGTATAAGTATTTGTGTATCTAGAAAATGCCTTTTCTTCTTCTGCCATTTCCTAGTTCTGCTGTGAGGTAAAGGGGCAGGATAACCTGGGCACAGAAGTCCCTCAGCGGATGACACCACACATTGCCAATGGGGAATGAAAGGATTTATTGCTTGCATTTATTACTGTCCCTAGGTCTCTGGGGACAGTAAGCAGGCCCCTCAAATAGGCATGTAATAGCTTAGAGAGCAAGGAAATGTACGTGGACTTGTTTTATTAAACTTGGGGGTGGGGTAGAGAACTAGGATCAGAGTTCATACACAAGGGCTGAGTTTGGGTGTAGTCAATCTCTTGCTACCCCAAGGGACCAAGTACTAAGCTTTCCTGTCTCCTCGGATCAATGTGGAGACAAAGGGGGAAATGTCACAAAGTTGTAAAGCTGTCAGCAATCAAACATCAATAATTAGAGTCAGAGACTTCACATTTCTGGATTGGAATTTAATTAACTTATGTCATTCTTCTAATTACAGGTAAAAATTCCAGAAAGTTAAAATGAACTTCTGTTTTTAGCTCCATAATATAATTTACATCACGAGGCACCTGATGTTTCAAAAATTGGGAAAGAGCAAACGAACCTGACATTCTAAAATATGGCCCAAATATTGCGTTCTACACATGACCAATACTTAAATTTATTTCAGTGAAAAATAATGCAAAAACAACAAATAACCGAAAAGACAGAAGGCAATAGCCATGAACCCTAGGACAACTTTCTTTAAATAAAAAGTTTTAAAACATATAATGGGAATACCTTTTAAAAAAGAAAGACAAAATTAAATGAATCAGTGCAGTAGCAATTACTAAAATTTTTCTAAAATTAACAATGACACCAAACAGTAAATTCAAGAAGGTCACAGGACACTAAACATCACAAACAACAAAAGTGCTCACCCAAGTCTCATATTAAATTAGACAAAGATTAAAGACGAACAATATGCATTGGAAAAAAAGCCAGAGGAGAAAATACCTTACATATACAAAATATTAGAATTAAATCAAACTTCTCTTTGTAAATCATGCTAGCAATAGAATAAGATGACATATTTAAATTTTGAAAGAAAGAAAAAACACTATTCTAGAGTTGTGTCAAGAAAAATTATCCTTGAAAAAATAAAGAAAAATAGCCATGGCTGGTGTAGCTCAGTGGATTGAGCACACGCTGCAAACCAAAGTGTCGCCGGTTCAGTTCCCAGTCAGGGCACCTGCCTGGGTTGCAGGCTGGAGCCCCAGTGTGGGCCACATGAGAGACAACCACACATTGATGTTTCTTTCCCTCTCTTCCTCCCTCCTTTCCCCTTTCTCTAAAAAATAAATAAAATCTTTAAAAAAAGAAAAATAAGGATATTATGAGATAAAAACTGAAGGAATTTGACATGAGTATACCTACATTAAAAGGAACATTCAAAAATGTATCAGAAGAATATAAATAATGATACTTGTCAATTAAAATCAAATAAATATTAAATATCTTTTGTATTTTGAATCATAATAAAGCAGATGATACTCGGTTTAAAACAATATAGACTAAAATTTTAAATAATAATAGAAGGTCAATTCTCTAAGGAGAATTAGCAGTTCTTTTGTGTGCCTAACAATAAAGGAAAAAGCATGAGGCAAAGAGAAACAAAGGCACAAGTGCCCACACAGTCGTAGACTTCAACAACCCCTCCCCATGAATTACATTCTAACAGAAAGAACGTCACCAAGGACAGAAATGCACTCAACCCTGCTGTGTAACAAATGGATTTAGTTGTAATCTGTGTGAAATACTCATCCGACAGAGCAGAATACTCACTCTTCTCAAGTTCACCAAGCCAGAACACATCATGAAACATAAAACACACCTTAACAAATCTGAAAGAACCTAAGTCACACAAAATATGCTGTCATGTCACAGAAGCATTACTCTTGAAATCAATAACAGGATAGTGAGAAAATCCCCAAATGTATAGTCATTTTAAAAGATACCCCAAATAATAATTCCAAAGTGTTATCTTGAAAAAATTTAAAAATTCTTTTAAACTCCATGAAATAAAAAAAAACAACTTCAAAGTTGTGGGATGCAGCAAAGGAAATGCCCAAAGGAAAATTTATGTCACTGAACAAATACACCAGCAAAATAGGAAAAAAATCTATAATCATTAATGTGCACACCTAATGTACAAAGTACTAAAAGGAAGAGCTAACTAAACCTAAAGCGAGCAAAATAAAATAATAATAAAAATTAGAAAACCAGATTATTTTGGGAAATCAATGAAGAAAGTTCAAACAAAAATAACTGCTGCTTTGACTAGAGGAACAATATTTATAAGCGTAACTAAGAAAATAGGGAGGCAGGAATTACAGTATAAAACTATCACCCATCATGGGTAACTCCAGGAGGTATGGGAGCTGGTCACTGAAGCCTTATAATGAAAGGTTTCTGAGGACACGCCCAGGTGTGACTGTGGGGGAGGGTCCTAATGCTGATAGCACTGATTCAAGGCCCTTTGGAGGAAAAAAGTTTATGGATACCAAGGTAGAGAGGTCCTATGCTGTCTCAATGTTTATGTATTTACCTAAAATATTAAAAAGGTAAGGGCATGAGAGAAGAAGAAAAAAAGTATTGAAAAATTGTATATAATAATTTGAGCCAATTAGGAACCTAAAATATATAGGAAGGTTTTACATTAAAAAAAAATTAATGGGCACTCATTGGATTTTGAGTCTCTAAAAATAATTTTGAATTATTAACTATCTTTTGTCTCAAGCTACAATTATACCTGGGATTTCAATTAACTAAATCTAGGTATATCATGATCTTAGGAGAATTACAGAAATAAAAGAGAAGAAAGGCATCTATTTCACTTTAAAAGTCAAAAGTGTGCATTGATTTATGGTCATAAAACTCATTCTTTCAATATATCCATAGTGACAATGAAAGCTCTGAACCAATAATGCATAAATGAAAATAATCCAATCCTTATGGATTGGAGGACTTAATATGCTTAAAGTGTTCATAGTACTCAAAGCAATCTACAGATGCAATTCATTCATATCAAAATAATAATGGCATTTCTCAAAGAAATAAAAATAATCCTAAAATTTGGATGGAACCACAAAAGAGCCCAAAGAGTCAAAGAAACCTTGAGAAAGAACAAAGCTTAGGCATCACACTCACCGATTTAAATTTATACTAGAAAGCTTTCACAATCAAAACAGCATGATACTGGCACAAAAGCTGAGAAATAAATAAAACAGAATAGAAAGCAAAAAAATTAACCCAAGCTTATCTGGTCAACTAATCTACAATAAAAAGGCAGAAATATACAATGGGGCAAAGACAGTGCCTTCAATCAATGGTGCTGAGAAAGCTGGACGGATACACGCAAAGAACTGAAGATGAATTTCTTTCTTACACCATATACAAAAATAAACTCAAAGTGGATTAAAGAATTAAATGTAAAACCTGAAACCGTAAAACTCCTCGAAGGACACACAGTCAGTAAGCTCTTTGACATGGGTCTTAGCAATATTTTTTGGATATGTCTCCTCAGGCAAGGGCAACAAGAGCAAAAATAATCAAATGGGAGGACATGAAATAAAAGTTCTGCACTGTGAAGGGAGCAAACAAAATGAGAAGATAACCTACTGAATAGGAGAAAATATTTGAAAATGATGTGTCAGATAAGGGCTTAATATTCATAATATATAAAAGCTCATACAAGTCAACATCAAAAAACCCAGTGAAAAAAAAATAGACCGGATAAAACAAGAGAATTTGAATAGACATTTCTACGAAGACATATGATAAGTACAGACATATGAAAATTCAAAAATATATATGTACCCCTATGTTTATAGCAGAATTATTTACAATGGCCAAGACAGAAATTATCTAGGTGTCTACAGATAAATAAATGAATAAAGAAGATCTGATATTTACATATAATGAAATATTGCTCACCCATAAAAAGGTGAATGAAAGCTTGCCATTTGTGAAACATGAAAAGACCTGGAGGGCATTATTCTCAGTGAAACAAGTCAGTTAGACAAAGACAAATACTGTATGTAGAACCAAAAAATAAAAATAAGAAATTAATAAGCAAAACAAAACAGAAACACAGAACAAACAGTTGCAAGAGAGAATGAGGGCAAGGGGAATGGATGGAAAAGGCAAAAAGAAATAAGGAGTACAGATTTCCAGTGATGAAATCAATCAATCACAGGGACGTAATGCACTCCACAGATAATATGTCATAAGGAATATCATAGGATTGTACAGTGATGGACAGTTACTAAACTTATTGTGGTGGTGGTCACATCATAAGGTAAATAATTGCAAGTCATTGTGTTACACACCTGAAAATAATATATTATGAAATACACTTGAATAAAAGATAAATTTCAAAGAATTTCTTTAACTGAGTAAAGAAAATTCCTGTTCTTTAAGGAGTGACAGACTGATAGACTTACCTCACAGGGTATATCACCCTGGTACCGTCCCCCGACCCCATCCCCAAAACCCAATATTATATCGAGGAGAACTCAGCTTTCCTTATAACTCAGCTTTCCTTATAACACACAGATAGAGGTTCCAATCAAGATATCAACTCAAGAAAGAAATCTTACCCCTCA